CAGACCCCCAGACTACAAACTCTCTACTTTTAAATCACGTCTTAAAACCCATCCATTCAAAATTGCATACCCTTCATGATGATTCCGTCTTATTCTCTTTTTACCTTGTTGAGCTTTTATACTTTCATACATTTTTTATTTTTCATTTACCTCGTGTTTTTATTTTGTTGCACTAATGTAAGGTGACCTTGAGGGTCTTTAAAGGCGCCTATAAATAAAATGCATTATTATTATTATTATTATTATTATTATTACTACATTCCTTACATTAAGATCTAAATTATCTAAAATGATTGCTTTTTTATGCAGAAGGATTTGTGAAGCTATTATGAAGTGCTGCAGATACTTGTGTGGAGCAAATAATGATTGTGTGAAAAAATGTAGAGCAAAGGGAGAAAAACAACACAGAATAAATACACCTACACAGAAGAGTATCAGAATAAATGCTTGGTAGGAAAAGAATGAGTGAAAGAACAAACAAAAGGAAGAGGTGAGCAGGCTAACACAGAGACACCCACGGGCACAGAAATGTGCTTTTCAAACCAGCCCACAGGAGAGAAACTTGACTACTCACCACCATGTTATAGGCTTCAGGGACATCTATTTCAAATTGAAACCTTCCACTTTGGTAGTAACCCTCATCTGGAAAGAGGATGACAAGAAAGGAGATTTTCAGTCATCTACATGAATACTGATTCTTGGTAAGAGATCACATTCATTCAGTGTTGGTGATCAGGACTTAAAAATAAAACAACAATAGAAGTATTTGAATTCAGAAAGACTTCAGTAAAAATGACCTTGAAAACAAGAACTTTAGCAAACACGTGACAAGAGCTGTGCCACATCACACTGTCCACGATAATAAGAGTGTCAGTTTTATGTGACATTTTGTGGCGTCAGTGAACCAGGTTATGAAGGAATGCGAGAACAAGATGCTAACAGCTGGCGATGTGCAACCCAAACATAAACAAAAGACCCCACCGAGCATCACTAGCAGCGCACCATATGCCAGGGAAAGCAGACAGACAGAGAATCCTGATAGAAAAACAAAAAGAAGAGGGCTTTCAGTACCTGTTTAAAAAGATTGACCCAAAATACAACAGGAAAAAAATATTTTTCAATTTCAATATGTGAGAATATTGTGCAGCAGCTCTTGCAGAGACTAAGGTTAAGATACGTAAGGTATTGTTAAGCGATTATTTTATAATTTTACTTCAAATTCCCAGGGATAACACTACCCAGATTACCGTGCTCACACTTGACTGATGCTGTGTCAGTAGTATTGGACTTTAATGTTGCTCCACCTTGATAATGTCATTCTTCACATTAGACTCTGTCATCAGTGACAGGAGTGGAAAAGAAAGATGGAAATGCCCTTCATTCTATCTGCACTAATAAATGCAGCTAAATGCAAGCTGCCATCACTAATAAATCCCTCAGTATTTTTCTCCTGGACCATTAGAAATATTATTATCACAAGTTTCCTTGAAATCGTGAGATATAATTTTGATTCTCTCTCTCACAGGCCCACACTTAACATGACAATGTTTGCATTAAACAGTTGCATTAAATGGTTGGAGCTAACAGAAAACCATTCTTCCAAAAATACATCCTTTCTTTGGTGTTTTGATGATCTTAAGAATTCTGCCTGACACACCAGCCTAAAATCTCATTAACCTTTAACTGGCAGATTTGAAACATGAAGATATAGCAAACAATCCATGCCATTATCATCAAACCACTGCCTGACCCCTGATGCCCTGGAGATGGGAGAACCATCTTTGTGATAAAAAAAAGATTTAAAAAGGACAGTTATCATTGATGGAAATGTTTCATCATAGGATAAAGGTGATCACCCAGGGCAACTCTGTATCGATTTGCTGTGACCTCTTCTCTCTGAAGAGACAAGTGGAAACTAAACCATGGCAGCAAAATACCATCAGCAGATCCTGTCACTGTAGGGGCCCAAACATGCTGGACCACAGTGAAGGATGACGTATCTGACCACATCTCCTTTCCCCACATCTCCACTGAGGAGTAAACTCTTACATGTGCATTTATGCATTGCAGCCTTATTAAATATCCTTCTCTATTTAACTTTTGATGGCTAGTTTTGCTGAAGCGTACTGCACTGACCTCAACACATCACACAGACGCAGTGTACATGTGATCACAGTGCCAAACCACAATTTCTGACATCAATTAGGTACGGTCATCAAAAAAAATAGGAGTTGGTTCACATTTACTGACATCCTTCCTGTAAATCTAAATACAGAGGCCTCTGCGGTCACAGCTGCTAATGGAAAAACTATCCAGCTGAGTAGTTTTTATGACTGAAGCTCATTTCAACCATGCCCTTACAATGAACCCTCGTTCAAAGTCGCTTAGGTCATCCTCATACTGGGCATGGCAGCTTTAGCAGTGGAAACACATGAATGCCTCCACGCCCCCCTGGACTGCACTCACACTGCGTTTAACATTCCAGGTCCACTTTTGCTTTAGTTTGGCTCTTTCACCCCCAATGTTTCACTTCACTGCTCTTCTTCCCCATATGTCTTTATCTCACACTTAAAGGAGCAGCTGAACCCCATTCCCTTCTCTAACAACACAATGTGAGTTTCTTGTATTAATCCGTGAGTTTGATGTACTTTTTGGCTCATTTGTGTCTATTGCTGTCCACTCATACTTTTTTTTTTTAGCCTTGTTACTATTTAACGCACTCTGTAGCGGTGTTACGTGGACTAATTATTGAATGAGATCTTTTTCATTGTGTTTTTTTGCAGATTATGTGACTAGCCCAATGAGGTACACTGCTAATGAGGTCACACTTCAAGAATAAGTTCAAATCTGCTCATATTTCTGGCTTGGTGCATCTTTTTTCTGGGGAGGGGGGGTCCAAGTTCTCTGTGAAAGGACCCCTGCAGTCTCAGTGCAAGTCGACGTGAGGGTTGTTTCGGCACAGAATCAGCAGCCATTGTACCCAAGATCAATCCATGTGTGACAGTGGAGTAAATGAGTGGCCCAGCTGGAGCATTTCAATCTTGGGGATAATCTCAGATCATTTGATTGCATTCTGCAGGTTAAATATTCATAATTCCACCTTTTTCTTCTTGGAAGACCAATTACTGTAAAATATAGTTGAGCTACATGCAGGGAGGTCTACGGTGGGGAAAGCTTTTGGTCCAGTTTTCCACACACTCTCACATCCTCATGTAGCCTTCAAAGCTCATTAAAGGCTTGTTCAGACATTGGGTTTGTGTAAAGGGTCTTTAATTAGCCAGATGACATTTACATTTCTGCTCTCACCTTATGGGGCCAGATGCTTTGAAAAGGATAGGCACTAAATATGGTACCATCATGGATCACAGGAGAGGAAAAACAAAAAAAAGAAAAAAAAATGGAGACATGGGTCAGATTCAAAGTTATAAAAAAAAAAGAAAAAAAGAAAGAAAAAGGAAAAAGACAAAAGGAAAAAAAAAGAAAAAAAAGAAATGGCTACTGAGCCTGTCACAAAGGTGGACTTGTCACTCCTGACAACCTGCTGAAATTAAGGTAAGAGAGACAAGGGATGGAAAAAACCCTTGGTAACTGACCATTAAATGATCCGTGTGTGTGCGCGTGTGCGTGTGTGTGTGTGTACTCAAGATTTTCTGATATTGTGGATCAGCTCCACTGTAATACAATTAGGGATGTTCCAGAAACGTAATCAGCAATAAGTTTCCTTCCCAATGCAATTCTAACAAAGAGAGATCTGAAATATACTTCCTAAAAATCAGTCTTGGCTCAGTATAGTCAACATGTCTGGCTTTGTTTACAGAGTTTTTATCACTTGTTTCTATTCAAACATTATTACATTGTTAAATTCTATTCAATGCAACAATGCGGTGCGATTTAATTAGACGGCAAACAACCTCCTCTGTATTTTAAAAGGTAAAAGACACAAACAGAGAAACTGACATAGAGAAACGCAGCTTCAACATTAGCAAGAAGGAGTAAAGAAAGAAAAAGCTAAGGAATCAAAACCAACAAGGCAAAGTAACAAAAAGATTTTTTTACACAGCCTCCCATAAAAAGAAGAGGAGTAAGAATATGACAGTCAGTATTTTTTTTCTAACAGCTGCAGTCAGAGGTCATAAATAATTCATGACTGTCTCCAGTACACAGGAACAATCAGTATTTGTTGTGACTAAACACTTCTCATGAACACTAAAACAAATAATCTCACAGCTGAACTCCAAATTTCTGTGAACCATGATTATCACATGATTTAACATAATTATGTATATTGCTTATTGCCTGTTTAGGGCACTGAGAAGATTGCTTTCTTCCTACATCAAGAAACAGCTTAACATTTAAATAAGGGATACAAAGCTCAGCCCTTCATCATGGTCGGTCTGCTTTGCCCTTCACACAGAGTATCCTACTCAATACAAATATTCAACCCTTATTGGGATCAACAGCCTCTGACTCGCTGATTGCAGCGTAAAATTTATTGCCCTACCCGGACGAATTATTGTATTTGTGATTTTCCCCTTAGGAAGGCGGCGTGTGGAAAAGTGATCTCTGCGGTGCATGTCTGTGTTTACAGATAATTACCGTTTTACTGAAAGGCATTTTAAACAGGACATAAACACGGATCATCTAAATGTTGAAAACCTGACGGTAAAAAAAATAAAATAAAATAAATATAGTAATACGAAGACCGAGACTATGACTCAAAATATGCTGAAAAGCAGAGCGACACTTTGCGACACCAAACTATAGATGGTTCTGGCGCCACTTAAAGCTGTGCACAAGCTGGACATCACTGAACTTCTGATGACTATGCAGCTGCTGTAGCTTCCTTATGGTCATGTCTCAGCAGGAAAAAAACAACAGTTGTTTACTCTACAGCACCTCTCACTGTTCTCTTAGCCGGGACTTTTGTTCTCCGTGTTTATCAGTCTAATAACTTCACAGCAGGAAGGAACAAACACTGGCAAGCATCTTAACAACCAAAAATCACAGAACAGAAAACACAAAAACCCAACTGTGGTGATTCTGAGGCTAAATCTGAAGACGTGGCTGCAACAAAAAGTGAGTGAAGTTAGCAACGAATTAGAAAAGCATAATAAATGTTTAAAATTGACTTTGTATCAAGATTGGGCCCTTTTACTTTATTCAAACTTTAGTCACACTTCCAGGCTTGCGCATACACTTTGTACGCAGCAACAATGGGCATTACAATACTGTAATTATGCTTCCATGCAGCACAAAGACAAGGCGATTGGTACATCAATTTTCTCTCATCATTGTAGTTCTAATAATAATAACAGTGACATGTGAGAATGCGTTCACCCCGTCGTGTTGCTGGTGTCCCCATTCCTCAGAGACTGAGGGGTCTAAGAGCACGGGGTCACAGCACAGAGTGTTTCATGGGAAAAGAAACAAAAGTACACAGACATTCCAACTAAATAACAACAGACCTAACTAATGTGTTGTCCACCACCTGCCTTGTTTCAATTAGATCTGGGAAGCCAATCCAGCACCAGCTATGTTTCCTTTGATGAGTATTCATGTGTTCTTAATTTGGTTTTGTGTCGTTTACTTTGTGTGATATGTATGAGATGATTTGAGCTGCTCAAAAAATGTTTTTACAAGTAATTGTTTACTAAAAATATGAGAAAGAACAGTGAAATTTATATAGTTGAATCAATATTTACTTTCAATAGTAATACAGCTTAATTCCCAGAATGACCTACAGATCTATTATATGCGACTGTCAAGGACTTTATCTGAAAGGTGATTTTCTGATGTTTTGCCCTGCTGATTTAGATGATTAATTACAGATGAAGGTTAGATCTTTACAAATAATCTCCTTTTCAGAGGACTCACAAAGCTCTATTCATTAAAACATTCCCACTACAGGATTTTGCCTGATAAGTTATTAGTATCAGTGCAGCAGCATTTCCTCACCATGGGTGAGCAAAGTGAATCAGGCCTTTTGTGAATAAAACGCCAACAAGAGTTCCTTTTTTCCTTTTTAATTTTTTTCTTTGTTAAAAATCACACCATTTAACACGTTTAAATATATAAAAGTAATATTTTCAAAAGCCCTCTGAGTCAAATTGCCAGCTTAGTTTGTGTCACCACTGCATGTCATCAACTTTCATCTCCTCTCTCTCACACACACTTTTATCTTGTCCTTGGTCTCTACGCTTTTCCTTTCTTTTCTCTTTCCCCATCAGCCTCCAACCAGTCATGCCAGATGGCTTTTAAAACAAACAATCAAGATGTGATTGAAGTCAAACATCCAGGGGCTTAACAAAAGTATTGTATTAGCTGTTTAGAAATAAGAGCCATTTTTGTACATAGTTCCCTGTTGTCAGGGGCTCAAAAGTAATTGGACAAGTCTATGACGAGCAGTTTCACAATCAGGTGAGGGCAGCTACCTCGTTATTTTATGACAAGTTAAGCCAGCTGTGGAGTTGTGGGTGTTCAACTTGCATTCGGGATCTTTTCACTGCAACTCAATAAACAGTCGAAAGAGTTGTCAATAAAAACAAAATATAATAAAATAAAAAGTAATTAACCTGTCAAGAAAATTGCAAATATTTCATGAAACCTAGACAAGTCAATGAGGGCTTATCCAGATTGACAGGGAGATAAATGTAAGGAGAAGGAGAGCGCTCTGAAGCATATCACATCAAACATGGTGGAATCAATGTTATGGTATAGGCATGTATGGCTGCGATTAGAGTTTACTGATGACGTGAGCACTTTCAGAAACAGAAGGATGAATTCTGGAGTGCACGGGGCTCCACTTTCTGCTCATATTCAGATAAATGCTCCAATGATGTTTAACAGTGCAATTTGAACCAAATGACTAAGATTCAAAATCTTTGAGGGACGGTACACAGAGTCAAACCTACAAATGTTGTGTCATTGCCTAAACACTTGACTGATATATATATTTTTTACCTTCTTTACAGGTTGATCAAATCAGAGAGTTGACTTTAAAATGAAGAGCCACAGAGCCCAAGATGCACAACCTTTGAGTCCAACATTTAAATGAATACAGGATTCAGCAATATTTTTTCCACATTTGGTAAAAGTGATTGAGCACACTCTGCTACCTTCAGAACAATGTATTCATGCATTTCTAACCAAAGCAGTGAGTTTTATAGAACAACGTTTTAACCCTTGTAGCATGAAAACTGTTCCAGAGTAAACGGTGCCACGGTCTATGAGAAACATAGAGAACAAGAGAAGAAAATATGAAAGAACATGAGGAAAAAAGCAAAAAAGAAAAACAAAGGATCGCTTAGCCTAGAGCTAAAAATGCTCTACATAGCAAGTCAAGCTGATTTTACCTTACGCTGCTAAGAGATATTAGACAGCCTGCATCCGGAGGCAAGTTCCTCTTGCATTTGATTTTTCATTTTCCTGCCCGACTACAATTACCTTCCCTGAAGCACAAATTAAAGATGCTTCATGGGTAACGTCAGCTTTTTACACTGCCATTCTTAAAGGAAAAATCTAACAATGGAAATAAGACAAATATTCATACAGCTTTGCCAGAAACACACCTGTAACATGACACGTCTTTATAAATCCACCATTTATTCATTTATTAATTTGAAAAGCTTGATGCTATTTTTTTAGTAACCAAACTCACACAAATTATAGTATCATCCTTTAACATGCATTATAGAGAAATGTACTCCTGTAATTGTGCCTGTGCTTAAATGCTTTTAGATTTGGCTATTAGTATTTTGTGTTTTGACGAGAGGCAATATTTTGTTTGTTCTCACAGATGAAATACAAACGACCAGCAAATGATCAGGGCTGTTGTCTTAAACACCACATTGGTTACAACTGAGGAAATGCAGGACGGCTGAGGGAGCCGCACAGGAGGAGGGAAAAGGAAGATTAAACAAAGACAGAAAACAGAAATGGCAAAAGGGAGCATGTGATAGCCGAGCGCGGTGCGGGTGGAGCCGAGGTGGTGCACGCCAGAAGAGACAAAGGTTTTGAATAATTGAGCAAGCCTTTTCTGAGAACTCAGTCTCCTTATCAACTCCTCTTAGAACAACACGAAACCAAAGCTTTACTCTAATTGCTGATCTTTGCTTTTCTCTGCAGATATTGCTTACAAAGGCCTCTGTGAACGTTAACCTGAACGTTACAGTGCATACTGCAGTGGAGGAGAGGTGGATGAATCACCGAGACACAATTACACTTTCACACAATTACACAAGGCACACATTTATTACAGGATGAGACAGCTTAGAATTTTCAAATTAATTCATTTCTAAATGCCCGACCCGACAAAAACAAAAAAACAAAAACCTAAACAATTAATTCCATTGTAAAAAAAAAAAAAAAAAGAAAAAAGTTTAAATATTGATCAGTTCCTAAAGTTAAATAACAGTTCTCTAAAGTCATGTTTAAGCTTAAGACTGCTACTAACAAACTCAATTCAAATGCTTTCGATTAGACCAAATCGCACCAATATTTTTTTTTTTTTAACTTATACAAAATTTATTTGTCCCTCCAATTTATTCTATTAGTCTGTGATTGCTGCAATAAATGTATTTTATCTAAGGAATAATGTATGAATGGTGAATGAAAAAGACAAAAAGCCTTGTCATATGAAAAAACTAATTTAGCATAACACTTATCCTAAAATCTAAAACCAGACCAAACTTAACACTTAGGGTTAAACCCCCCATGTTACTAAAACTATACAGGTAGGAGTAAGACCTTTGATGCACAGATGCTTGGTGGACTCAGAACCCATTGTTGCCATGTTTTGATGCACTGAGGTGTCATTTTTATGAATACAAGGAACAACGTGCAGTCTCGCGGTCATTAATGTTGTAATCATCTGATTAATTTCTATAAAGAGTTCTTTGAGATGCTGCAGTGGAGTCACTCATGCAAAGACTTGTGTTACCGTGTATTTGTAAAGTTGCAAATGTGGACGAAGCCTTGCTCACAAAAACCATCAGAAATGAACTCGAACTCTTCCAAAACAACTTCCAAACCGAGACCATCCTTCATGCACATGACCTCAGTCCACTCACTCCCGAGCCGTACACCCGCCAGCTTTGATGTGGACTGGATGAGTAGTTGTTGGGAAATGTGAAAACATAATAAGACATCTTCCTTAAATTATTAGCTAGATGAAATATTCTACAAATATTTAAATAATATATTTATTACCGCTCTGTTTCTTTGCTTCTCTCCTTCTATTGCTCCAACATGACTGAGATTTCTCTCAGTCTATGGATTGGCATGTTTACTGATGAAAATGAAGACAGATTGCTACATGAGGAGAATGATAAGGAGAAACTGGGTTTGGGCTGGAAGAAAGTTTGTGTGTGATGGAGAGGAAGCAGGAAGTGGGACGCATGAGAGCCTCCGGAGACTTAGGTAACCCCACACCACTATGTTTGGTTTGTACAATATTCGACAGGTAGCCCGCTGAGCTTGAAACAATGCTGATTAAGCACAACTGCCTTGGGGAGTGAGGACAGTGCTGCGGTAATGTGAAAGTACAGAGAATGCTTAAGTGCCTTTCAAAGGGAATACTTTAGGACACACAGAGATTGAGAAACAAATTGCAAACACTTGCAGTCTCCTCTCCTTCACACTAAATCACCTGAACCCAACAACGTCCCCGTCAGAGCTTCTTTTACTACACCACTTCATCTTTAAATGTGCTGGTGGAGTAAATTTAAGTGAAACAGAGATTTAAAAACTCTTATAACTAGAATAAGAACCAACTTTTTTTTTTTTTGAGGGTGTACCAAAGCAGTTTTTAGAGCGGGATATAAACAGACTTTCTTATTTTCTTACCAGGAGACACTGCCAGCTGAAAATGATGCAGCTTATCCTCATCTGGAAAACTGGCTTTGCATGTGCCTGGACACGAACGATGTGGGGAAAGAGGAAAAAAAGAGTCATTAGAGTCAGATAATAAAAACAGAAGCATATTTGCCTTACTGGCAAATAAAGGCATTAAAATCTAAGACATACTGCAGTCTGTTCTAACCATGGTATGTTGATACCGCCTTAATTTGGTGCAGGATTTTTGCCTTGCATTTCAAAGTCCCTGTGGCACCATATTCCCCCCTGGTGTTCAAGGACAGGTACTACACTTAAAACTATAAAAGAACTCCTCCTTTTATTTGTTTTACTTACATAATTACCAGCTTTTTGATTAAATAATAATAATAGAAATAATTCCTTTATGTCTTAAAATGACTCCAGACTGCCATCTTCACGTTCACATTATATATATGCAAATGAGCCCCAGCAGCTCTAGCATATATACTCAGTGCTCACTATTGGCTTTGGTCACACACCGTAACACTACTCTGTGCTGCACAATGGAAGTTATAATATCAGAGTAATGCAGACACACACACACACACCAACTAGAAACTCATTCTGAAGAGGATGATCAAATTATACCGGGCTGGCTGCCAGTCAATGCATCAGAATGTTAATATAACGTGTTTCACACATTGCTCCCTGATTAGAAAAGAATTAATGAAACCCTGGTTGTCTGAATCAGTGTCATTAAAGAGCCCTTGAGAAATAAAGTGCTCTGCTTGCTCTATGAGAAGATTGCATGTTGCATTTAAATACAGCATCAATTTTTTTATAACCTTTCTTCACCTCAAAACATGAAAATGATGTCTTAAAAGCTGCAAATAAAAACTTACATAAATGGATCAATAACAACCATAATAATAATAATTATGTGATGAAGTAAACAGCTACAATTAAGACATGTTTATGAGCGTAAACCTATAGAGAATAAAAATGTCTTCACTGCACGGTGGATGAATCCCAGCTTTCACCTGGACAACAAAACTTCCCTCAGTGAAGTCCATCAGCCACGAGTGCTCCTTGTTTTTTTACATCTGATTTGCTTCTTATTTCCCCATCCACCCTCTGTTTAACATATTGCCTTTAACAGGCAAAGCTTTCTGCTTTAAGTGATTCCAAGAAAGTCACAAATATAAAAGTGAAAGACTGTGCACACAAATCTGTCACTGTTCTTCACACTGGTGTTTCTCACTGTGTTCACAGCCGGGAGGGTTGTTTTTACGTATTTAATGAATTCATACTCTTCAAGGTATCTTAGCGTTCATACTGGGACGTAAAGAAAGGATACGTAGTGGTCCATACATATTTAACAAATGAGGTTTGAGCACTCGGGAGTTCCTAAAACAAACAGCACTTTGCATCTAAAAAAAAAACCAACCAAACAAACAAAAAAAAACATTGATATGTTTTGATAAAACATTTATCATCCAGACAACGATATAAATCACAAACATTTTAAATTTTCTGTAAATTCTGTGAATCTCGGGCAACTCGACTTGAAGTGTTTTCAGCTGAGCGCCATGTACCTGAAGTCGAATGTTTTGACCGATCCGTGAAACTACAGTTTTAGATACAAGTTGTAACGGCTGCCATTTTCTTTGTGAGTATTTATTACACGGCGTGCTGCGGGGAAAAGCTTGTTTTAACGTTTAAGTCTAAGGTGCATTTTGAGCACCTGACGGCTCTATTTTGCTTTTCATCCGTAAACTCGCTCCGTACTCTTTTACGTGACTCTTGAGTAGGTGGTAGAAGAGGTTTGTCGTGTTTGAGTCTGTAGTGGGGACTGGTTTTCTGCATAAATTGCATTGTACAGTTTTCTGGTCCGTGTCAGACTTTTCATAACCAAACCATGTCCATGCTACAGAGGTAGCCCCTCGTTTAGAAATATGGTCCTCGATTTGTTTTGACTGGTCCTCCTTTTCTGTTATACTAACATGGAGCCTATAAAACAGGAAGCTCCGTTCTGCCGGAGGTTTCTTCCTATTAAAAGGGAGTTTTTCCTTCCCACTGTCCCCAAAGGGTCATATGATTGTTGGGTTTTTCTCTGTATGCATTATTGTAGGGTCTACCTTACAATATAAAGCACCTTGAGGCGACTGTTGTTGTAATTTGGCACTGTATAAATAAATAAAATGTAATTACATTGAATTGAAGGTTGCTGATTGGAAATGTAATAATTAGATCTTTGTAATCAGCAGATTGGATAAAATCTTATTGGACAAAACAGATGCTGAAAAAGCTTAACTTGGGGAGATAATTTGCAGTATAAAAAAGTGAAATATATGTTATTCCAATAGTGAGATGGAAAATCACAATAAAATTGTATCTCGAGTGAAGTATTGAGGTAATATCGTATAGTGGGAAGTCTGGTGATTCCCACCTCTAACATATATTAAATCCTAATACGTTTTGACACATAAGCCCGGTTTCCATAAATAAAAACTACTTTAAAAAAGCACTTTGCACAGAACATTATTTTATCATTCTTTAATTGTACAGCACAGGTTGCAGAAACATAAACGCCTCCTGCTTCACACTGCTGTTCATCTAAGAGCCGCATGACCTCACAGCAACTGTAGTGACTGTTTGAAAAGCAATTTGAAGAACTCTCAGGTTGTCATATGAGGAAGAGATCAAATAAGCTGCGAACACCCGCTGCAGCAGCGCCTACCTCCAGCAACTACACACTAGTGCTTTTTTTGGACTCTTTGAATTGTGTCTTAAATTTGAATCTCACAAAAACATCTTCTAAGAAAGCCAATCAGCGGTGTTACTTTCCTGTTTCCGTGTGCATGACACATTGCTCATTGACCCTCAAGTTACACATCAGTTTCATCAGGCCACAAACAAAACCAAAAAAAGAAGCATCCTGGTCTGAGCCACAGCAAGCATGATGAACTCTGCACTTGTGCATAGCAGTGACCAAAGAAGATCTGATATACTGAGGTGGAAGTGCTAAAATAGTAGCCAAGGGTAAAGTCTGTTTAAACAAATATCTCCCCTAAGGGCAGAAATACAGCGAGCAGCAAACGTCTTCAGGCCTGCATCACTTTTGTTTATATTTAAAGACATGAATCACTTGCAGCTTAGCACAGATACATTTATGAGGTCGAACTCGACGAGCTGGCTGAAAACGCGCAGCTAAATAATGCTAAGCTGTCTCTTATCATTTAAAAACATCCAAAAGTCTGTTATTTGGACTAAGTAGTCTTCCATGAATCACTCATTTTACAAACATTTTAACCATGAAGTAAAATGATCGTGTTACTGGTTGTTGCTGAATAACTTCGTGGCAATGTAATAACGGCTTAAAGTATGGTTACAAATAGCTTTCACTTAACATTAGCAAAGCAATTTGTCAAAAACAGAGAACGTGAAGCACATCAGAGGCTTGGTTTTCTTTCCTGCCTCCTTTATACCATAACTGAGGAAATTAAGAGCCAGAAGGAGACTATGAGGATTTATGGCAAATTAGGCCAATTACTCAGTTGTCAGAGTTTCAGCTGCTTTTGACTGGCGGAAAACATGGAGCTGAAAAAAAAAAAAATGCTGTGTGTATGAAAGTGGAAGTACTTACTAGGAAGATTGGCTTCAAGTTCGGCAACTTCTGTTGGCAGAAAATAAGAACGAGTGAGACAGCAGCAAAAACACAAAAAAAAAAGAGGCTGAAGAATGAGGCACAGTGTGATATCCGCATACACAAAGAACTCAAACTCCCACACTGGTGTTTTTATAATGAAGTAATATTTTAGTAGCTGCATTGTCAGGAAAGTTTCTCTGCATAAAACATAAAGTCTAATATGAAATTCATACACGAAAAAATGTATTTTACATACAGCGCAGTGTAGCAGAGACACACAGCGAGTAACACGGTGGGCCAAAGTAGGAAAAAGGAGACGGGGAGAGAGAAGAGCAACGCAAGAAGGATAAAAGGTTGTTTTGTTCTCGCTGCCAGAGGGCGAGGTCGGGCTGAATTTTTAAAAGCGTTCAGGGTCTGTTGTGTTTTCTCACTACTGACACACTTTTCACTCCTAATTCGTGTCGGCTGGTTTAACACCTTTACCTCCCAGAAAAATACACAACAAAAATACCCGTTGTATTTTTCTTCTCTGGGCAGCTGGTGCTGTTGGTCGGACGTGGCCTGCTGAGAATTTTTACTTTGGTAAATATGCTCTTTGAGATGTGCATAGTCTAATAATTAGATAATTCAAGGAAGTCGCTGGAGTTTCATCTGTTTCTCCACACAGAATGAGTGTACACAGTAATCTACTTAACAGCTCCCTCGGAGATAACGCCGGCTTACTGTTTTGCCTAAGGAGACCAACGATGGGCTTTTATCAGATTAAGAGTAGCTCACAGTAACAAACTTTGGCCAAAAATCAAAGTCCTATTCAGATTTTGAAAAATCTTTAATCCACCACCTACAATTTAGGTCACCTGTCCCCAGCTAAGAAAAGCTAAAAGACTCCTTCCTTCTGGCTGAAGGTGGGTCTCTCTATAAAACGAATATGTGTAAAAACATTTGTGTGAAGTATGTTTTTGGGATGGTTGGCTCCAAATCACCAACTTATACGGTCATGCATTCAAAAGTTAAACATAAAATTTACCAACTTTATTTTGCGTCTGTAAACATGATATACTTGCACTATAAAATGCCAAAATAACAATAATACAACAAGGACATGTGCAGCCTTTATGTTGGAGGGCTGGGAGATGTCTTACTACAACAGTTGGCCTGAAAAGTGTTTTGTTAGTGGTGGTAAAGCTTCAGGAGTGTAAGACCAAGGAAATAAGAGTCTGACAGCAGACTGTAAGATTACATGTTTGATAATAACGTCAGACAACGTCAGAAATGTGAGTGTGAAAGTTATTTCGAGGCTATTTTCTGTGTTGAAACACAAAATTATTCATTGATCAAGAAACCAATTTGTTTACATCTCTTGGGTCTTATTGTGTTGTCATGAGCTGCAGCTGCTGCCATTATTCATGCATGTTTGACTGGCAAAGCTGTCACCTGCTGGGAGTCTCAAAGGGAATGGCATTTGGGTATTTCTCCACGTGATGCTCAAACAAAAATTCTGACTAATTAGATGTATTACCTACAACTAATATTTTAATAAAGTTGATTTCCATGATTCTATGCGTGTAACATAAAGAAATAAAGAAAGATCCCTTTGGAGAGATCATCTCTGTGCGCACCTCTGGGCGGCATCCTGCTATTGCAGAGCCCTCACTGGAAGCCCCATTTTAACCACTTGCACTCTTGTCCTACGATGTTCTGGATCTACTTTACTGTGTCTAAAACAAGCATTCAACCAGAGTTTCAAGTTGAGGAGGAAGACGAAGTTGTAGAGCTCAGAGCAGGTGGCCAGTCTCACCTCAGGGCATGCCCACTTATAGGTTTAAACTAGAGGTTTAAAAATTGCTGCTATCGCTAGTCAACATTCTAATGCTAATCAGTTAAAGTACCTCTCTCCTATTTTATTACTGAACACTTGTTGTTGCCCATTATTTCTGAGATGCTACAAGTTCAAGGGCTACAACCCAAAATGTAAAATGTGATTTGATTATTTAAGAACATGATTAAGTGTTTCTAACAACTCTTGAATCCACACGTAATATCAGAGGAGACAGCGTTTAACCTCGTCCATTACGCTCGACTCGGATTTCCGAGCGTGTACTACTATGACACGAGTCAGTCAGACTGTGTGCTGCCATTTAAAAACATTAGTAAATTAGCCTCAAGGAGCATCCTAGTATTCATGGCGCTCTGCACAGTGAATGTTTTGTCTCTGTGGTCAGAGCCAGAGAGAGAGAGCTAACATGCAAGTGACTCTCACCCTAACCAGTGAGCACAAATGCTGGGACAGACTCCAGCCACTCCGTCAAGCTAAGATGGAGAAACAGTTAAGAGGAAAGAAGGAAGGAAGGAAGGAAGGAAGGAAGGAAGGATTATATTCACAAGAGGAAAACTGTTGCAACCTTGTTGAAATCTAGTTTTGTTCCTGTAATAAAAAAAAGGGAAACTGAAACTGAAAAATGGACCAAATTATAAAATACCCGGGTACCTTTGGTAAGGAGGCGGTCTCTGATTGAGACCCTGTGGGTGGAGTCTGAGGCTCCGGAGGCACGGCCTGTCTTTCCTCCGTCTTCTTTCTTCAGCTTACTGGCCAACGTGAGCATGGCTACGCTGATGTGATATGACTGTCAAAACCACGGTGCACCGTGCTGCAATGCACTGCTGCTCAAATGCCTGCAAACAACACAGAGCATACAGAATAAAATGCTCAGTTACACCATACTGCATAACGCACAGATGCAGAGGCATTATAAGGTAGTGATACAGCAGTCAAATAATCCTGAATTACACGAGGGAGTCTGTGTTTTCATTACAAATAGATATTTCTACCACTTCCTTTAACTGTTCTCATTAGGGGTCGCCACAGCAGATAATCTCCCTCCCCATATCCCAGCATCCTCCACTGTCACACCAACCCTCTGCATGTCTTCCTTCAATACATCCATAAACCACCTCACAGCTCCATATTTAACATCCATTGGACAATATACCCATTGCCCCTCCTCTGTACATGTCCAAATCAGCTCATCAACTTTGACTCCAACCTGATGTGTGCCTCTCATGAACTCATGAGAGTCACCTGCAATATAAATTTGCCACCTCCAGGCTGGCCTTCTGTCTAATTGTCAGTGCCACCATGTCAAGCTACACATCCTAGCAGGTCTCACTACCATCTTGTAAAACTTCCCTTTTATTCCTGCAGCTCTCCTGTCACAAATTACCCCTGACATCCATCTCCACCCACTCCACTCCACCTGCACTCACTTCTTCATCTCTCTTGTGGACTGTCTGTTGCACTGAATGGCTGACACCCCATTTAAACTCATTACCTTCATCACCTCTGCTCATTCACATGTATTCTGTCTTGCTTCTACTGACTTTCATTCCTCCTCTTGAGACCATAGCTTCACCTCTCCAGGCTCTCTTCCACTTGATCCCTACTCTCACTACAGATCACAGTCATCTGCAATCATCACAGTCCATGGGTGGATGGTCAGCCTGTCCATCACCACTGCAAACAAGAAGATCCCTGAAGTAAACTCACCCGACCTTGAACCCATCTGTCACTCCTACTGCACACCTCACCACCATCTCGCTGACCTCATACAGGTCCTGCACCACCCTTATATCCTTCTTTGCCAATCCTCACTTCCTCATGCAGCACCACAGTTCCTCTCTGGACACCCTATCATATGCTTCACATAGAACATTAAAGACTTAGTGAAGCTCCTTCTGACCTTATCTATACTTCCCCATCAACACTCTCAAAACAAGCATCACATCTGTAGTAACGTCACTTGTTAATTGCAGTTATTCAAACATTCACACTGGTTTCCTCCCACAATCTAAAATTGAGGACAAAAATTCAAAACTTCTCATGTAACTGTGGTTTAAAACATAATGCTGTTACAATTATGCACATACAGGTAACACAGAGAATAGAGAGGTGCAAACACACAGACCACAGCTCTTTCAAGGTAAATTGCATCAAAGGCAAACAGTAAGAAGTCTTCTCTATTTTTTCACAGAAAATTAGTACTACTACATATCACATACATTACTACAACTACTGTGAAAAAATGATTTTAAACTCGTTCATTTTTAATCCATCTTAATTGCAACTCATAAGCAACTCATCTGCAATTCCAAATGATGTGCAGAGACGTGCTGAAAAAGTTTGGAATTATAGATATGTTAAATATTATTTCCTGCACAATCATGCTTTTGATCTCGTAGCTATCATCTGGTTGCAGAGAAGGTGTGAATTTAATGCGGGGGGATTCAAATGTAACTCAAAAACAGGATCTAGTATTGAGCACCGCAACACAACATTTCCATCAACAGAAGGAAATCTCACTACACACATTCCTTCTGTGTGATAAGCAGGATGCTAAGTCAAGACATCACGGAGTGTTATATTTCTTGCAGGGTCACTACTCGTACAGTACAGTCCACAGTCAGTCAAGGGCTGGAAGTTTTCATGACGAGAAAACAGATGGACCTTGAATCCAGGAACACAGATGTACTGTAAACAAACAGTGTCTGAGGCAGAATGTGACCCTGACTGTTAAGGGTATATCATCAGTGGGGCATACAGAGGACAGCACTGGCTTGCTGTCAGTTGGTCTATCTTACCTTTTTCCTGACAGGTTACATTTTTTATCTGGAACATCATGAGACATTGCACATGCAATATTTGTCCTCCGCTCTCATCTGACATCAGACTCAATCTTTATGGTCTTTTGAAAACATCATGTGCCACGGCGCTCTTAATGTGATACTGCTTCACAGACAGCGCAGGCTGCAGCTCTCGGTCAGTGTAAATCCAGTCTGAGCGATGTGGGAAGCAGAGAGTAAAGGTATCAACTATCAGCGGACCGTGAAATGTGTGTCACTGCGCCTGAGTCAAGGCCCACCTGCCTCAGCTGTCACTCACTGCTGCACCTCCTTGACACATAGCACCTGGATGCCGGTCAAACAGTAAGCAGGCAACATATGACACATCTGTCAGTCCTACCGCAGTTCCAGCGATCAGCGCAACTGAAAATGTTCCCTAAATCCCAAACTTCCCCAAAACCCAAACCCAACGTGACCCAAACTAGAAGGAGTCGGCTCCCTTCTTATAACACCCAAACCAAACAGAGGTGTAGTACACGAGTTAAACCTTTGTGCAGAGCTGAAAGTGCTTCAAACACATTCAGGACTCGTACTAAAACTTTTCAGAGTGAAGTCACTGCCTCGTCTCCGAGCTGTGGGCTGCTGTGTTACCGTAAAATAACAACAACAAATGGCTCACACCGCTCAGCACGGCTAGCTGGACACTATGCCCAAGCTCATACGCAGCCTCGGCTCGGGGTTATTCCTCTCTAAACGCAGATGGGAGCAGCTGTACAGCTGAAAATTGCCCGCAAAGTCTGTGTGCTAACTGCTGTTAGCCTGTGTGCGATCTGTGTTACCTGCTGTCTCAGAGCTAGCGCTCCGCGCTACACCATAATCAGCCGCCCCTCCTCTGCTCGGGCCGCAGTCTGCAACTCCAGCCGAGAGTCGTAGCAGCTCCGTGCGCCTGTAAATAACCTCAAAAATGACGCCCTGGAGGCACGAAATGGATATGAACTGATTTAGGAATCAGCTGTCAGAACTTCGCTCCGGTGTCATGGGCAACGGAAGTGCAGTGGGTAGTTTACCTTACTGCTGTCCGTGTAGACACTGCAGCTGATAAATAGTTCCGCAGGGCGGCAGCCGTCTTCTCGCCCATTCTAGTAAGTTCCAGTTTAAAATGGGTAGTAGACGAAATGATTATTAAAAAAATTAATTACAGAAATAATTTAACATTACATTGGTATATTATTTGTACATTTGTACGTGCATTTCATTTATGTCATTAACTACAGCAGCATTTCTTTGTCATGTTGAAAAACTGAGACGTACATTTTAAAAGTGTACCGGTATGTCTTTTTTCTTATATTGAGATCGTCCAGGGATTCATTGTGCAGTTACACTAACGATCAGAGTGGGCTGTAGTTTGAGTTTGATACTGTTTCTCTAAAAGGACTTGGACATGAGTAAAATGTTTCCACTTATATATAAACACACAAATAATGTGTGTTTATATATAATTATGAGCTGCATGTAACCAGATATACTGTTTTCAATGGAGTCAAAAATGGGAAACATTTAATGGTTTTTATTTGATGAAAAGCAAGGATACATTTTTGTTCTGTACGCACACTATAATTGCTACTTGTTGCATAAATTCAGTGATTCTTTATCAAAGCACAGACCTGCCACAGCTTAATTCCTCTGCATTTTTTCAGATTTAAGGTATATATTTGACCTTCTTCTTCCTCCTCCCCCTCTTCCTCAGTAGCACAATCCTTACTCACTGCCTTGAAATGACTTCATTGTAACTGGAGACTGAGTCTGAAGGGCTTTCAGAGAAAAATCTCAGTCAGCCTGAGTCCTGCACTCACCTTTCTTTTGACATGAAAAAAGATAGCTTTGCCACCCTGACAGTATACATGTTTCAATATAGCTATAATGCACTTATATATTTGTGCTAATAACATCTTTGTAATGAGCAGTGAATATTAACAAATCAAATCAAAATCAAATCACTTTTATTGTCACATCACATGTGCAGGTACATTGGTACAGCACATGTGAGTGAAATTCTTGTGTGCGAGCTTCACAAGCAACAGAGTTGTGCAAAATACAATAATGTAAACAAGCAAAATACAAGAATGGCTACATCTGAAACTAATAAATATATGTACAATATAATAGTATATGCATTTCTGGATGTGTATACTAAATATTTTTCTACGTGTGTGTGTGTGTGTGTGTACACATATTTTACAAATTAAATAGAGTAAACAATAAATAAAATATATAAAATATACAGAGTTGAATATGTGCAAAACAGTGGCATTACTGTACAGTATGGAGTGCATAATGTTGAAGTTCCAGTAGTGAAGCTGAGGTGTCTATGACGTGTTCAGCAGTCTGATGGCCTGATGGAAGAAGCTGTCTCTCAGTCTGCTGGTTCGGGACCGGATGCTGCAGAACCTCCTTCCTGATGGAAGCAGTCTGAACAGTTTATGGCTGGGGCGACTGGGGTCCTTGATGATCCTCCCCGCTTTCCTCAGGCAACGCTTCCTGTAGATGTCTTGGAGGGAGGGAAGCTCACCTCCAATTATCCGTTCAGAGCACCGCACTACTCGCTGGAGAGCTTTGCAGTTGTAGGCGGTGCTGTTGCCATACCAGGTGGTGATGCATCCAGTGAGGATGCTCTCAATGGCACAGTGATAGAAGGTCCTGAGGATGGGGGGGCTCATGCCGAATCTTTTCAGTCTCCTGAGAAAGAAGAGGCACTGCTGCGCCTTCTTCACTGTTTTGTTTGTGTGTACTGACCACGTAAGATCCTCAGCCAGATGTACTCCAAGGAACCGGAAGCTGCTCACTCTCTCCACAGCAGCGCCGTTGATGGTGATGGGGGTGTGTACTTCTCTGCACCTCCGGAAGTCCACTATCAACTCCTTTGTCTTTGCGACGTTGAGGGTGAGATGGTTGTCTTGACACCAGTGGGTCTGGGCGCTGACCCACTGGTGTCAACTATGAACATGTCAACTATGAACATTTGAAACTACATTTTAAATAAAGCATATCAGCCATCTTATTCTGGCAAAGCATCACCTGTTTTCAAAATTAATCAATAACTCAATATTTACAATTATACTTCATCAACACTCTAAAACAAGAGTGTTTCTGAGGAACCAAGTTGTGTGATCCATAATGCATGTACAAGATACATTTAAAGGGTTTGAAAAATGTAAATTCAAGAGAAGAAAGAAAAGGAGAAATGTTGTAGACAAAGAGGAGTAAATGCAGTCATGTGACCAATGGGAAACTAGGACACGGTGCAGTTCTGTGGATTGAGTGAAACAGTGGAGCATCTTTGATCAACATATGTAAAATATCAGTAAGTAAAAGAAAACACTGAACAAAAGTGCAGAAACACACGAGTGCAAGTGAATAGTTTCAATATGTGTTTGTTGATACAAACAGCTGCAGTCTTTTTATGAGGAGGCTGGAATCACTTACACTCGGGCCATGTGGATAATTAAATACACCTACAGGTCCTTCTGCAGTATTAATCTGGTTGAAGTCTGGACTTTGCAGCACTGGATGCCTCGCTTTTCTCTCTAGAATACTTTAGCATACAGAGGAGCTCATGGTCGAATCAGTTGCTGCAAGGTGCCATGGGACTGTCCCTGCAAAGCAAGCCCAAATCATCACCCTCTCAGCACTGGGCTTGACACTTGGTATGAGGTGTTTGTGCTGATGAGTTGTGTTTGTTTTTCCACATGTGGTGCTATGTTATAGGCAAACATCTCCATTTTGGTCTCATCTGTCTAAAGCAAATTTTTCCAGAAGTTTGGGTTTGTTCAGAAGCAACTGAAAGATGAGGCTTTCTCCTCGTAACCCTTTCAAATATTATTTGGTCTTTTTCTCATTTTAATGTAATGAACTTTAATGTTTAAGAACTGTGCAAACAATGTACAAAGCAGCAAATTAATCTTTGCCCCACAACATCCAGAACTTGTTCCAAATAAGACAAAATACTCATGACCTGAGAGGAATCCTTAGCACTTAATGAAATAAATTCAGTCATTTTCCAGTGGTTCTGCAGTTTGTTCCAAGCCGAGGGTGCTAAATGGACAAAAGCTCTTTTACCAAGTTCAGTTCAGGCAAATGGAACAGAAAGCAACAAGTAACCATGCGGACGAAGAGAATACCGACCAGCATGTTTCATTACAAGCAGGGAACATATATAAGAAGGCAGCAACCCAAGTATCGCCTTATATATAAAACTGTATAAATGAGAGTTCCTCCGACTTACCAAAGCAGGCC